TAAATTCTATTAATAAGTTTCTATGTGACTATCTATGGATGTGATGTCGTGGTGGCCGAGAAGGCCACCCAGGTTCGAAACTTAGCAGGTACCAATGTTATTTTTTCCAAAGTATAAATATTATATACTTTTCAAGTTTATTTAAGCTTCTCCTAAAACGTCCTGAGTAAACCTGGACTTATTATTTCAAACTATGAGTTTGAATACTCCAATCTGTCTTGAGCAAGCGTAGAGATTGAAGCTTATACTGTCTCCTTGTGAAAATAAGTATTTGTTCAGCAGTGACCATTTCTGCCTAGTAATGATGATGTGAAAGTTTATAGTTTGATAGTGTGTAATTTAAAATATCAGTTAATCCGTCTTTTAATTTCAAACCATAATTTATCTTACAGATGTTCTTCCTCAAGTACAGCCAGTGCCATCCACGAGCCAACAATCAAGAACTTGAATCCTTATGGAACTGAATCAAAAAGGTATGTTATGCTACTAAATTCTATTAATAAGTTTCTATGTGACTATCTATGGATGTGATGTCGTGGTGGCCGAGAAGGCCACCCAGGTTCGAAACCTAGCAGGTACCAATGTTATTTTTTCCAAAGTATAAATATTATATACTTTTCAAGTTTATTTAAGCTTCTCCTAAAACGTCCTGAGTAAACCTGGACTTATTATTTCAAACTATGAGTTTGAATACTCCAATCTGTCTTGAGCAAGCGTAGAGATTGAAGCTTATACTGTCTCCTTGTGAAAATAAGTATTTGTTCAGCAGTGACCATTTCTGCCTAGTAATGATGATGTGAAAGTTTATAGTTTGATAGTGCGTAATTTAAAATATCAGTTAATCCGTCTTTTAATTTCAAACCATAATTTATCTTACAGATGTTCTTCCTCAAGTACAGCCAGTGCCATCCACGAGCCAACAATCAAGAACTTGAATCCTTATGGAACTGAATCAAAAAGGTATGTTATGCTACTAAATCCTATTGATAAGTATGTATGTGACATTCTATGGATGTGTTGTCGAGGTGGTGAAGGTAGGAAACGTGATAAATCCTGGACTTAATATCTCAAACTATAAGTTTGAAATCACCAAACTGCCTTGAGCAAGCACCGTAGTGAATCCGTAGTTCATACAGTCTCCGCGTGAGAATATATATTCGTTCAGCATTGAGCACTTCTGGCTAGTGATGATAGTTTGATAGTATGTAATTTTGGATGTCAGTTAATCCGTTCTTGATTAAACAGATATTCGGTTGCAAGAGTAGACCAGGCATGACAAGTTAAGGCATAAAATTATTTTTATTCTGGTATATTTTCGTTAATAAATTTTTACCTACCTGCCTGCAAAAGCTTTTGTTTAATATTAAATTCCCTTGTTTCTTACTTCAGTCTTATTCTGAATATTAAAAAATAGGATAGATGAAAGGTGTTGTGAACGGATCTGAAAAATAGCATGCTATTCGAGAGGTCCATGAGTAGCAATGGTATGGTCTGCTACAGGCTGATGATATTTTTATCAGCTTATTACTAACATATAATTTCACAAACACATGAGACCCTGACCCGAAACAAGTATTTGTGAATCACAGAATAAGTCATTATGTGCGGTAATAGAACCCGCTACATGTTGCCGGTTGTAGCCGGTTTCCCAGCCGCCGCACCAACCGTGCAATAATGAAAAAAAAATCTTTATTTGGACCATTACCATTTTGAAGTCATCAGCTCTCATATCTAGCGGCTATCAGACTAGTTTTAAATCATAATGTATCATTTCAGATATTTTGCCTGAAGCAGTGCCATCCACGAGTAAGCAATTAAGTCAGATCTCTGTGGAGCTGTCTCAAGGTCAGTGAAGACGTTTTGAGTATGTCTTCCTATCATTCGATTGCATTGACTGCCAGTGCTGTGGTAATTCATGACATAGGAACAACTTTTTATGACATAACATAACATCACGCCTTTTATCCCCGAAGGTGTGGGCGGAGGTGTACATTACAGTAATTAATGGCACTGTACATTGTAACGTAGCACCCACTTTCCACTATTTATGTTATGAGTCGCATGTAATAGGGGGTGCGTCTATTGCCATATACCGTGCACAATTCCAGACTCCATGCTACTACTGAAAATTGTTTTAAACCCAGTAATACTTTGCCTGACCCGGGAATTGAATCCGAAACTCCTTGCTCAGCAGTCGCACTTGCGACCACTCAACCAACGAGGGAGTTTTATGACTTTACTTATTTCTTTTTATATTTATTTTTCAGAAGAAATACATACCCTTTCTACTGTTGAAAATCTGCCTGAGAAAATGCCTAGTAAGTACTTTATCATTATTTATAATGCATAGAAAATAACACAATTACATATCTTCGGTAGCGTGGGTATAAGGTTGTGTAAGGTTAATCTATACATATAATAAAAACGTAGAAAAGTCTAATTTGTACATTGAATATTTTTTTAAAAGAATACTTGTAGTGTGATCTACAATCGATACCGAAGCCAAAAATATGAGTTTTGGAATTTTTGTCTGTATATATGTCCGGGTTAAACTCAAAAAGTACTACTTGGATTTATTTCATACTTTGCATGAATATTACTAAAAGGTCGGGTCAACATGGACATATTACACGCTATCACCTACGTGGGAGTAGCTTTGAATCACTATTCCACGCTGACGAAGTCGCAAGCACAGCTAGTAAGATAATATATCAGAGAATGGGCAGCAGCATCCTCTTTGCATTAGAACAACAACACTACGATGGCCCCTAGTAGCCATCAGCACTTCTATCCTCCAGTAGCTGTCGAAGCCACGTTGAGGCACACACGGAATCACGTAAAAGGGGTTGGGGGTGAAACTTAAGATGTATTAAAACCATTGTAGCCGATTTGTTACAGAACTAAAACTAGTTTTCTAAGTTGGCTTTTACATATAGGAACATCCCTTAAACTTATTTAATGTTAGAATATTATTAAAAAATAGAAAGATTGAAAACGATCCTCGATATGGTTTTAGTAATTTTTGTGTTCTATTGCTATTTTAAATTGTGTTATGTGTGCAGAGAAATGCTTGCAAGGCTTTTGTAAAATATTTTATTTTTATTTACAGATATAACGCTAAGGGAGAAACAATTGATGGAGCGCCTGAAAAAAAACAAAATGCAGCCTGACAGCACTTAGACGTAGCGCTAATCTTTTAGATAAATTGGAGTCAGGCGTCTTAAAATAAATAGTTCTGTAGGCGTTGGCAAATCAAAAAAGAAAGGCCAACGGTTGCCGTTGAACATCAAAAAATAAAATATGAGCCTTAGCTATATTTAAGAGGTCACCAAAAGCCTTTCGATATCTGCAGCAGCTAATGTCACTACCAAGTCAGTGTAAAAACGTTGCATAATGTTTTTAAAAAAATATCAGTCTCCACTGGTGTAAACAAATCTGTTACAAAACATTTAAAAAAAATCTGTAAATATGGATAAAAAAGACAAGTACTGTGGTCTATTTACTTTACATATTTGACGAGATTGCTCTAAAACGGCGTCTCTTTTTTAATAGTAGTAAAGACAAGGTTGAGGGTTATGAAGACTATGGCCCGGAAGTAGAACGTGGTTCTCAACTGGCTGACCATGCATCGGTATTTATGTTGCAAGGTATACGAGCAAAGTTTAAGCAGCCAATAGCTTTTTATTTTGTTAAGGGTACAGTTTCCTACCAAAAACTAGCCTCAATTATAAAAGAAATTATCATGGTTGTTGAAGATACTGGATTCAATATATTAACAACAATCTGTGATCCCTATATTTTGGCTCCACGTGCACTTTAGTGATTTTGCTGAGGTATATGAGGTTTCTATTTTTTTCCTCTGCTTGTAACAAATGCTGCCATTTAGCCTTCATTCCAGACATATACATTTCCCCATATTTGAGGAAATTATTTCTAATCGATTTAAATAAATGAGGTATATCATAAACAATGTAATTTTTTCCATTTGAGTAAGTAAAATAGTTGTCATTTGCGTTAATTGGAGGAAGTGATAATGATTTTAATAGTTTCAGGGTCCCCATGTTTGTAGGAAGGGTCCTAAAAACAGGAGGTCACAGATTGTTGTTAATATATGGAATCCAGTATTTTTAACAACCATGATATTTTCGGCTCGAAGTACAGGAGTAGGAACGGGGTGGTTTTAAGCCAGTAAAAGTCTGATCCGCCTCATCCAGGCGGCCGAAGTCATTAAATGATTCCCCCCCCCCCCCTTAAAAATACCTTGCAACGTAAAGACCAATGCAAGCAATGCATGATCAGCCAGCGTTTGAATATTTCAGCGTAAATGATTTAAATGTAAAGGTCGATTGTCAGAAAAGTGGCATTGTAAGAAACAACTTCTGTATCTAATCTGTAATATATGGTGAATGTATTAAGTAAATAAATGAATAAGTAAAATTATATAAAATAGTGTTTATTTTTCCTAATTTTCAAAATATATACTTTTGTGCAGGAATCCTATATAAAAGCATGCTTAATATTTTATCGATATCGATGAAATCTGAATATCGATACGTTGCCCATCCTTATTCGTGACAGTTACTCTTTTCAAGGTCATGGTTGTCACTGTCATTGCTAATGTTGGTAGCATTGTGTCACATGTGTGGTTGGCTAAGCGCCGTTACGAACTCTCAAAAAATTGAATGTACTAAGTTCCGCCTCTTATAATTACATGCTCTGTGCATTTTGATTTTGTTATGTTCATAGACACATTTACCCGCGTGCCGGTACTTTTTATCATCGAGGAAATTGGTTAACATCTAGTCTTTATGCCACCACTGAGTGGCCTGGTGATGTTGTACATCTGTCAGCTGTCAATTGAGATAACTGTCAAATGTATAAATATATTTTAAGGTTAGAAATGTTAGAATAGAATTCGATCGATTAGATTTACTGAGTTAAAGACGATATAATCAATTTTATACCGCGATCAGTAATCATATGCAACGGAAAATGCAAAGATGATGTACCAAAACTGCATGAAAATGTCTTCTGTAATCATAAAACAGTTTCTGCCTCATACAAAATCAGTCTGTGCCAGGCTAAGTCCAGTAGTGTGCAATGTTTTTAATTACAGTACGAAAGTTACTACAACCAGTAACGAAGATGTCCTCAATAACTTAACAGATTGGGAGACTTTAAGCAGAAAGAAAAAGATAAGTAAAGCTATGAAAGCTTATTTGGAGAGGGCTCAAGCACACGATGAGTTCATGCATAAACAGCAGTTCGAATATAATATTGGTAAGCGACATCTCGCAAACATGATGGGAGAAGATCCTGAGACATTTACACAGAAGGATGTTGATCGCGCTATCGAATACTTGTTCCCTAGCGGTATTTACGATCCAGCAGCTAGGCCCCTGATGAAACCCCCAGAAGAAGTATTCCCAGCACGTAAGGCGGCTGAATTTGATGAAGCTGGTAGACCGCATCATTTCTTGTTCTACACTGGAAAACCCAGTTACTTTAAACTTATGTATGATGCTGCTGAAAATATTCAAGAATTGTACAATTTTCAAGACAAAGTTATTAGGAAAAAAGCCACACCTGATCCTAATGGAAACTTAAACTTGGATTCTACTGTCTGGTTGACAAAGGACCAACTGGAAAACTTGTTAGTAGAAGCAATAACAGACTTGGAATATGACAACTTCAAACTTGTCATGGAGAGATTGGTATCATTGCCTTATGCTTACAGAATAAAGGACTTTATTGACAAGTATAGGAAACCACTTGCTTCTCAAAAATTTGCATTGGAAATCCCTAAGCCAAGTTATGATGCTGAGGGACGTGCTTTCATTACAACATATGAATGTTTGAGGAAGAAAGCTAGAGGGGATGTGACAATCAGAGCTCCAGGGACTGGCAAGATTACTATCAATGGCAAAGACTTGACTTACTTTGATGATATTCAGTCTAGAGAACAAGTCATGTTCCCCCTCATATTCACTGGAATGCAAGACAGTGTTGATGTTGAATGTAACATTGAGGGAGGAGGTCCTTCTGGTCAGTCTGGAGCTATAAGATGGGGTATTGCTTGGAGCCTAAGAAGCTTTGTCGATACTGACATGCTGCAAAGAATGCAAGTAGCAGGTTTGCTGACAAGAGATTTCAGGAGACGTGAGCGTAAGAAGCCTGGTCAACCTGGAGCTAGGAAGAAGCCTACATGGAAGAGGCGGTAGTTACTTTATTTAGTTATATTACAGATTGAATAAAAAATGTCTTAGTCTAAATATTGTCTTTTACTTTATTGCTTAATTCAAATTGACTAAAATAGTGAAAAAAAAAAAATTAAAAAAACAGCTGTTAATTAGCCGTTGAAGAATTCGTCCTCAATTAATCTAACCATTATAGCGGCTAAGCAGGCCGCGCCTTATCTACTCTCTTTGTATTAATCCTAAAGGGGTAGCCAGAAGTGCATACAAGTATGTGATGTAAATGTAAGACCTCATCATTCAATGATTCCCCCCCCCCCCCCCTTAAATAAAGTACACCAGTTATTTTATAAAGTCCCTGTGCATTGTAACCATTATTTACATGAGGCATTTTTGAATAAATAAAAGACAACCTATATAATACTACACTCATCATGGGAATTGAACTCCCTTGTTCCCTAGTCTGTACATTTCTTTTTTATTTATAATATCTGCATAGTCTGATACTCGAAACACATACTCGGCTGGTTGTAACAAAAAAACATAATGAAAAAAACAAATATGTACAATTATAAATATTTTATTAATGGAACATTTTCTTATACTTATTAACTTTTATTTTTATATGGCTTTTTTAAAGATTTCTTTTTGCCTCCTATTTTCTTTTTGAACATTTGATTCTTTCTGTCCTTGTTATAAATGCGCTTCTTCATCAAAGATTTCAATTCTCGCCTCTCTTTTTGAATTTCGTTTTCAGGTGCTTTATTGAAGAATTCTAAGCCTTCTGGAATAATAAAACAAATATTCAAAACATTTATCTTTTAAAAAGTAAATTACTAGTAACTGGATAACTGCATGAAATTAAAACTCTCAGTAGTTATAACGGCAGAAATCATACTTAAATCGTGATAGATTACCAACTACAATTAAGCATATGGTTAAAAAACCATTAAAGAAAATCACAACCATTGGCAAACAATTACTGTCAGGATATTAAACTCATTTTAAAATAATACGGTATTTTAGTCTAGATGAAAAAAAAAAATTAAACGTCTATTACAATCATTGTTCAGAGGCAAAGCAATCGGGAAATGTTGGTTTTACTTCATAAGGTGCTTAATTTTTTTATTGCAGTTTAAAGTTTTAATGTTTTTTATCTGTCTTTGAACACAACGAAATGTCGCCGCCATGCTAATGACGTCATTACGGCAGTAAACAAAAGTGTCAGCTGTCATTGTACTAAGTAGTAGTTGTAGTCATGACGTCATCATGGCTACAAAACAATCATGGCGTCAGCTGTTTGCCGCGATTTCGCGAAAATACGCGCGAAATTTGAAATTATGATAAAATTATTAATTTATTTTCATACATAACGCGAGGTATATTATTGCTATAGAATTTATTTTAGACACAATACAAAAATGCATATTTAAGACCTTTACCTTTAAGACGTGAATCAAATTTGCTGAAGAACAAATTTTCTTTCCATACTGCTTTAGTTTCAATTACAGGTGCAGGTAAAGTCTCAATTTTTTCAACTTTATCCTCCTTTTGATCTACTTCCTCAGTTTCCGAGTCAGAAGAATCGTAAACAAATGGATTTTTCTCTTTAGGGTCTAGAGGATTTTTCACTTTTTTTGCTTTCGGGGCTTCTAAGGGTATATAGTCAGTTTCTTGTTCTTGTGGGCCTGGAAAAATAATATTATTTGTTAGAGCATACTTACTAATTTTAGTTGTACGTATTTTTCATAGTTTTATGAAGAACATACCTTTATTTTCATCATCATCATCTTCATCATTATCTTTACTGCCAAACAGACTTCTCAAACTAAATTGGCTTGGTTGTGCAATCGCTTCTTTCAATGCATCACTGACTTTATAAAACTGTTCTTTTGAAACTTCAATTTTTGGTCCTTCTGGTTGAGGTTCTACTTCTTTTACAACTTCTTGCTTTTCTTTAGTTTTCTTCTTTGATTTTTTATTTAGGTCTGGTTTGGGTTCAACTGGCGCCAAGAATTTCGCATGATCCGGTTGAAGAGGATCAAATCGAAGCATACCTAGTTTAGGTCTGGAAAAATAAATGTAATTTTTATACAATAAAAAAGACTTAACTACCGTCTTAAGTGTTAGAAATCATAATTTGTTACCAATCACAATAAATGAAGTGAAATGATAATAACCTGGAAGGCTCGAAGAAAACTCATCAGTTCTTGTATTACAAATAAAGAAGTGTTAAAAGTCTATAAATAATTTCTTTACTTACTTGCTTTTTTTGCTATCATTACTTTCCGAATATTTCGTTTTAAATGTAACTCCAAGTACATCTTGTAATATATTCATTTGTTTAGCTTTTTCATCTTCTGTACCTAATTCTACTTCTTCGGTTGTGTTGCTTTGTTTATTCTCAGGTTCCTCATCCTCATCATCGTCAATGAACCTTTCATCTAAGGTGAAACGTTTATCAGATTTGTATCTTGATTGCAAATCTAAAACCTAACATTTAATCTTACATATTAAACTACACTATGATAAAAAACGAATTTTGTTATTGGCTGGTTTCACAAACATCCTGTTATAAATCAGATTACCAAGTATTTATTTGTCAATCAAGGGAATCTATGAAACTGGCCATAGTTAACAATAATTTTACATAATTTACCTTCTGGCCTTTTTTGCCTTCATATTGCTTTTTAACTTCAAAGTTCAATTCATCATTGGAATCATCAGCATCATCATCTTCAAATAGAGCTGTATGATTTTTGTGTCCTTTATTTGCTATGGTATGTGTTTTTGTTTGTCTTGGCATCTCATCTTCCACATCGGAAAATATAAGTTTTTTATTTTGTACTTTATCCTGTAATGTTACAAAATTGTTAGACTTACTTACTAAAACCTTAAAGGGAAATACTCTGGGTAAAGTCGATTTATTGGTGACCTACACACAGCAGTTAACAATGTTAATGAATTCTTATTACAACTACTTACTACACCAGTTAATCCTGATTTGATGATCATTTTCTTTTCTTTAAACTCCTGCCTCTTTTTCTTCATGGATTCCAATCGTTTTTTTTCTGCCTCATGTTTCCTCTTGTCTGTTTCCGTGGCAACTGATAAATTTTTGCTATCAGCAGTGTCCCCAGCAAGTAGGTGGGATCCATCTCTTTGATGTTTCTTTGTTTTTTGTTTGTCATGTAAAACATTCCATTCCTCTACAATATTTTCATGCTTATTAGTTCTATGGTTATGCTCTTTATCATGATTTTGTTCTGCTTTCCTTTTCCTAGGATTTAGCTTGCTACTTAATTTCAATACAGGATTTTTCTTGGGTAAACTTTCTTCTTCGGCTAACTGAAAGTATTTTAAATAAAGATAAAAGTTTATACTTTGTGAAGTCTTGCTTGATATTACTCAATACACAAATTATTACCCGATTTTGTAAAGTAATAATTTATAAATCTAATAATCGAATAACATTTTGGGTTACCTTTTCAGCTTCTTTTATTTTTACTAGTTCCCTCTCCCGTTGTAGTCTTTCTAAGAAACTTTCTCTTGCTCTAGTCACATAAAGTTTACTGCCTTTAAATTCTTCGTGTATGAAGTGTTTAATACCTAGAATATTGCACAAAGAGTGTAAGTTATTTTTTCCACAACACAATCAAATGTATACTTTGTACACAATCTTTGGAGGTAAGAGTATTATGAAGATACGTTACTCTGGTAATGTTGAGTATGTTAGTCAAGGAATCATTCATTCAAAAGAATTTGAGACTGGCATTGAGGTATGGTAAAGCTTTCATAATATATGACGGATAATATACACACATACATATTACAAATTCAATCCAAGTTAACTTACATGATTCCACATTCCCATTATCAGCAGATAGCGAAACAAAAGCGAACTTCTTGCTTTCTTTTGCATCGTCAGGTTTGCATTTCAAATCCACACTTGTAACTTTACCAAAAGAAGAAAAGGCCGAGTATAGTTCTTTCTCTTCCGCGTTTTGTGGGAGATTCCCAACAAACAAGCGGGTAGATATCATGGCAAAAAGATTTTTTAATATTTTTTTTGTAATTTTACGATTTAGTTAATCACATTCACGCATTATTTTGACGTACAAAAGTGAGGTTATGTATGCATGTATGTAGCTGCCACTGTTAATGTCATGTCACTTGAAATTTAAAATTGTCAATGTCAAAATAGTGGGGTCTATCCATAGAGTCTAATTCCCAATTCTCTATGGACATATCAAAAGAGTTAGGCCTATCGTATCTTGCTCACTAGTTGGCGCCACCGTTTGAAAGTTTTAAAAACGAATATCATAACATAAACATAACATCACGCCTTTTATCCCCGAAGGGGTAGGCAGAGGTGTACCTACAATGTAACACCCACTTTTCACTATTTATGTTATGAGTCCCATGTAATAGGGGGTGAGCCTATTGCCATAAGCCATAAAACGAATATCATTAATTATTTATTTTATTTTCAGCCATGATTGTCCCTCTTCAGGGCTAAGGCCTGCAGTTTATTTTTTATTAATTGTTGGTTGAGAATTTTTTTTTAAGTTTTTTGGGATATTCTTAAAATGCATCTGCTTTCGAAACCTTTTTAACTTTAATGTTGGTAATAAAGTGAAGGGTGTGAGCAAATATTACTTTAAAAATATAGGCGTGTGTGAGAGCCATGTTAATCAAATCAACCTCTTGTAAGGGGTAGGTTGGGGTTGACTAAGTAGCTAGTTATACACCGTTAAATTTGAATCGTTTTAATCCCTTGGAGGCTTGGAGGTTCGAACTGGTCCATGAAACACTATCGATTTGTAAAGATAAAATTAAAAAATAAAGTACTTTTTTTTTAATAATTCGAATCAATTCTCGCATGAGTGAATAAATAATGCGAACCGTTAGTACAGTTAGGTCGGTCCTAAGCCCGTAAAAGTACGAAGGAAAATTTGGAATCAATTCATTTGTTTACCTACGCAAACATCAGTTGGTCGAGTCAATAACCTTATGCTTGATCGGGCCGTGTAGGTACCTAGGTACCTACACTGCCCGATACGCAACGACCGACGACGACGTAGGTAACTATCTCGTGGCGCAACTTTTGGTTTCATACATTTTGCGAGTATAATCTTATCATTTGCTAATTTATTTATTTTTTATGTTACACCGCACTACAAGTTTGTAATGAGTAGTATTCTGTTAGTTAAACCACAGGCCCATGGGATTAAAACGACTAAAATTTAACGGTGTATGTACGTACCTTAGCCCTCACTTTCACATAGAGCAAGAGTGATCAACGTGACCATTTTTAATTCTCACACTTTTTGTAAGTACCAGCTGAACCCGCGACTTGACTTCATCTGCCTTTTCTAAAATAAACCTATGCTACTCCTTGGTACATTAGGTACCTGACAATAAAAGTCCAGTCAAAATCGGTCCAGTTATTTCAGAGATTAGACAGTACAAACAATCAGACAAACAGATAGACGAAAATTGTAAAAGGTGTTATTTTAGTATATGGATATTCATAAGCATGTAGTGAAATGCGGTTGTTTCTATATTACAAACGTTTGTTTGCTAAAAAATTAGAAAGCACAAATCAACAATAGGTACTTTGTTTCGCCTAGGATTTAACTCAGTGTCGTACTCTTGGTATCAGCAGTTGATCATGCGCTGAACGGTCAATAGATCATTTTTAGCAAGCTACCTAGTAGGCAATAGCGTGCAGGTACATCGAGAGGTAACACAAAATAAAACCAGTTGTAATATGTATATAAAATCTATTGCTACTACTCTCATAACACAAAATAATTCACTTAGATAATACTGTGTCAATTACAAATAGAACACAATATATAACAGGAAGATAGTATAAATATAATCAAATATAGCTGTTAGTTTATCTATTTACATAGTTCAAATAGGAAGTATATTAGAATAGTATTACATAAAAAATCGAAGAAACTGCAATTGCATCTTAGCAAACTTCAGATTTTTGTTTGAATTGTCAAAAAATCAGACAACAATGTTGATGTTAAACAAGAACAATTTTAAATATAACAACACAACACTAATAAATATTCCAATTAAAAATTTGATCGTCAGATAAATGCAAATATAAAACGATAATAGCAACACGCCAATATAAAATTAAGTACTACAAACAAAGTAAGAAATTATTTCCATGAATTAAGCCCTTTATTGTTTTTACCTCTAAAAACAGAGATCAAAGGCACAGCTAGTGAATAAATAAATATGTATTGTTAATTTGTATTATAACTTTCGTGAGACATACTAGATAAATTATTATGTTTTCGGCTTACTCACGTAACTGCTACTGAGTAGACGTAGCAGAACAGTCGCCGCATTGTAGGTGGCGAAACGCTGCTCATGAATATGCGTCTCTAGTATGGCTTGAAACTAGTCGAGTTCCTCGTCGAATAATTACGTGAGTAAGCCGAAAACATAATAAATTATTGTTAATTTATTATTTTAAAGAACGTTATGGACTCTGTAGGTACATATATAATCAAACACTTATGTAGTTATCTAATAGTTGAGTACACATCAAACAGTATTCAGATGTACATTAAACAATTTATTCACACAAAGCTAATGGTACTTTTAATATACAATTTACAACATATTTCGTATAGATAGTAAAATTCCAAGATCTTTTATACAAATATGACAATAATATTGATTATTTTCATAAGTTTTAACACATTATGTTCATTTTTTTAAGATATAAATTAAGAAATTTTACACAATTCAACGATTAATACACCAAATAGATTTCTAGATTTAATTATTAAATATAAATTAGACTAGGTGTAACAAGGTGTGACCACACAAATACTCGAGGGTGTATTTATTAGATAAGTTGACACCCGACTAGCTAGCTACACGTCGAACTGAGGCTTTACAAAACATGCGGTGCCAGAACACATGGGTAAATAAAACAAGAATTGAGACCTACTGGCTTAATCAAATTGCATACTACATACACTGTATGTATAGTGGTAGTCCAAGCTCTGAAAATCTAAACATTATAATTGATCTAGATCACAGGCTTTTGAGGGCCGTTGGGCCGTGGAGGTTCATAAGACGTGATGCACTTAAAATAAAGTTGCGTATACTATACGGAATGAATAAAGTCACGAGGGTCAAAGTCGCGGGACTCGTAATGTTTACTTATTTCTATGTACATAGTTGTAAAGTAACAGCCGCTACAGACGTGGGTATGAGTGCGGCTCAGACTTTCAAGTGGTTCCTCTCGTAGCAGGAGTTGCGTGTGGAGTAGCGCTACGTGGGCTCGTCCGAGGACATCAACGCTTCTGACTGCTCGTCCAAGTCCGGAATGTTTCTTATCACCCTGTTTATTAATACGGTTTATACGATTATACTGTAGAAAGTGTGATAAAAGTATTGTGTGGTGTTATTTAAATTTCTTTGTTATCTTTGTTTTTATAGTGGTGATAAGTCATAATAATAAATAATATGAAGTGACTAGTCACAACTTCACTGGGTAACTCAAAATGAGTATGATTATGTGTACTTACGTGAAGCCTTCAGCTGCCCGTAGTCGGTCGGTGAGGCAGGTGAAGAGGGCGAAGTCCCGTGGGAGCTGCGTGGCGGCGGCGGCCCAGCCCGCGCCGGCGAGCGCGGCGGCCAGCCCGCGCCACGCGCCCCCGCCGCCCGGCCCGCCGCCGCGCCACGCCTCCACGCACAACGATAGAGGCACCGCTAGGCCTAAGATGCTTGTTGCCGCTTGTGGCGATGTTAACGATCGTCCCCTGGAGTATAAATGTCATAATTAAAAGTAAACATCTACACAAATATTACATTATATTTGTGTTCTTAATTCGTCTCATTTCACTAAAATGTTGTAATTAGTTTTAATTATGACTACTTCACCAATAAAGGAGTCAAACAGCAAACAATAAATATGTATTATAAGTTTTGTTACACGGCATAGAAATTAAAACAACTCTTAAACTTGATACTCTGATTTTCAAGTATGTAATAATAAATAAAAAGCAGAATATGTAGTTACCAGAGCCAGAGTGAGTCAATGAGCAAGGGCCCGAGCGCCGCGTCCAGCAAGAGCCAGGTCCACTGGCGCGGCGCGGGCAGCTCGGCGCGCTCCACGCCCGACACCGCCAGCACGCCGCCCACCACCCACGTCAGGCAGCCGCAGGCACACCCTACCAGGCCTACAAACATCGAAACACACTTTAGAACAAGTAAACAGTTTCATTTTAAGGTCACATTTTTTTAGTATAATGTGTATGTAGTATGAACAATTAGTATGTTTACTTATCAACCACTATTACATTAGTTCAAAGGAACCCCTCCCCCCAAAGGAATTTCTCTACAAAAGATTGGTTACATTCTTCGTATCTTTTCTAGCTAATTAAGACAAATAATCGTAGAGTTACTTTGCATACGATAACATGATTAAAATTCAACACAGACAAAATTAACTATTTACTTTCTTAAAGGTGACCTATGTTTCATTGATATGTAAATAAAATAACGTTATTTTTGACTCACCAACGAGTAACGACGAGTTGATATCGTCGCCGTTTCTTAAAGCTTGTCTAAATAAAAGTAAATGTACAGCGTAACATAACGCTGAACCCAGAGCTGCCAACACCGCTATCCAATTTGTTTGATGACTTTCTGATATGCCCAATACCACCTGGAAGAAAGAAGAAGAAATATAAATGTAATGTTTTTTGTACTAATTATTACGGAGGCTGGACCTCATGACACAGGGAATCCTAGTGTGAGGTCCAGGACACAACAAAGTTGTAATATTTTCTGAAAAAAAAAACATTACATTATTCTTAAATGCCTGTTAGTAGCAAATTATTATTTTTACAGCTTCATCTTTTTGATTTAAAATCTTTAAACTTGGGATTGCTAGTCCTAAGATACCAGAGTAAAAGTCCTCACTTTCAATATAAGTATTATCAAAATGCTAGTATTAAATTATCAAAATGAATACTAGATTGAAATAGCCCATGTATGTTAAGTACAAACATATTCCTTATAAATAAAACAAGTAACAAAGTAGGTTCAGATTTAACTTCATTATTCAAAACTCACCAGTCCAGCTGCAGTGAGTAGGACAGCGATGCACTTGGAGAGAGTGAACCGATCGTTGGGTACTTGCGCGAATATGGCACCGAAGGAGAGCGCCAGCGCTCCCGCAGTCGAGGTGTATATTGTCGCTGAGCCCGTCGACGTGTGCAACAGGCTTAGTCGGTACAAATAGTTTGATATGAACCACTGAAAATTAACAATATTTCTTCCTTTACAACTGCTATAAGTAGTACCTTTTAGGTGTTGGGAGGACTGATGAAGCATAGAATTTGTTCCGGGACTCTGTCGCTCGACACAAAATTTACATGTACCGCGACATTTATAGGTCGCGCCACTTGTCGCTGGTCGATGCTCTGCCAGCGAAGACAAGCGCGACTGCGTGTCCCTCGACACTCGACAGTCGCCGAATAGGCTTTGGGTAATGAGAACGTGTCTCGCTTTATGTTCTAGAAATAGCAGTAGTCTGGTCCAACGAGAATACTCACTTCTCCTCGGGCGACATACTAATCACAACTGGCCAATGTGAACAAGTGAAATATCGAGCGACATTGTCCCTCAAAGTTGCAGAGACATACCAAGTGAATGTTGGGCGATATGTCGATATGAAAACGTGGCTACATGATTGTGCTTGTACTAAGGTTCAGATTATATATGTTACCAATTTGCCTACTATTTACAAACATAAACGTCAATTAAAGCACTGACTACTGACATTTGCGATTGAAATGTTTCCTACCTCCTTATAGCTATAAAGTATCATAATACTAAACCCATTAAAATCTTAAACTTTAATAAAGCTGGGTAAGACTAGTTCTTAAAATAATAATTACACTTAAATCTGTAACAAGCGCTGACCTTCAGTTTGGGACAATGCAGTCTACATACAAGTTTATCTTGTATTCATAACTTCAAGGTTAAAATTGAATACTATGTTGCTAGGTGTTATTCAGAATTCAGTGTTTATTCCGCGAGATGATCTAATAAAGACATTGTTCCACGTGTAAAGTTGTGTCCCTCAATTGACGAATATACATGAAGAGATTGATAAATGTAGATGAAGTGAAAGAGGTAAGCCAGAACTGTATGAAAGGCGTTTTACGTCTCTGCCTACTTCAAAAGGAGATAGACGATATGAATCAATCAAAACAACCAGTGCTGCCTTGTACACTAGGGGCTAGACGAGTCACATGCGTTGCCGGCCTTTTAAAAAGCAGTTAGTCTAATACTCCGGTGTGGTCGGCAACGGCGACCTCTCCCGTCCGGCTCTGGTTCAGGGCATGGTATGGTATGGCCGGTATGGGTAAAGGGTAGCTCGCAGCCCGACGAGAACCAGACCAGAGCGTGCGGCACGTCGTGTTCCGCGCGCGCCTCAAAGAGCCATCAGATCACTACAGATGGGGCCCAATAGGGCCGATTGCGAAACGGAGCCGCGGAAGGCCTAATGGGTTACCGGGGCTCCGGCCTGAAGAGCAGGAGTAGGAACGGGGTGGGTTTTAGTCAGTAAGACTTTGACACTCCCTCTCGCCTAACCCAAGGCGGAAGAATTCATTGGATGGTTTTCCTGCCTCCAAAAAAGGCTAATACTCCAATGCATCTTTGTCTAATTGTTATTTCCTGTAGATATTTGCCTTTAGTAAACAAATACATGAGGATGTTCTTTTTTCTTGAAGGTTTGAAGGTCACAGCAGCTTTTAACTTACAGGTACACAGAAGAGTAGCGCGAGTCGGAGATGTCGGCGCGTGGCGGCGGCGGCGGCGCGGCGCTGAGCGTGCTCGGTGGCGCGTACCGACGCGGCCCACGACAGTCGCGCCAACAAAGCCTCGCTTGCCATAGCCGCCGACATTACACGAACCTGTATAAGTCATCATGTATTATTCTATTGTGTATTTTTACAAAGGCAAAGGCTTTAGTACCCTTCTCCCACTTCTTTCTGTCTACAGGGAAATCTCTGGGTTTCTGTAGTAAGTCATAGAAATCATTAAAATTTCAGATCAGGTTCACCCACTGTCAGGCAGAGGCGTTTTCTGCTTTGCTTCTCCATTTTTTTGTATCCCTCAATCCATTTTATTGATGATCAAAATATTAAAAGGATAGAAATGATAGAGTATGTCTTAAAAATATGATATTACCTCTGCCACTTTATTAAATCGTACAGCTCTTGGTGCGGCATCATCACTGTCTGTGGTTTCCCCAGCCCGGACCGGCACAAAAGTAGAATCTCCCTAAAATATTATTGAACTATAGAATCCATTCTTGAAATACACCATTTCTTTTAAAAAACTTTATAATTATTTCCAATTTTGATAAAAACTTTTATAATGATATTTTTTTTGTAAAACATTGTGGTGTATACAGGCTGTATTTTTTATCCCAAGCAATATTGTACATGGTGATTTTTTACCTGAGTCTGAACCTAAAACAATACAAAAAGGTTGTTTTAATAAAATATACCCTTCAACACTCTTTCAGTATGTCAGTCAAGGACTTCATAACTTATTCATAGTTGCAATTTACTGTGGGTAATGAATGTACTACAGAAGCAGTAGCAATGAGTAGAGAAACAAAGATAATTATTGAATTACAATTTAGAAATTCTGATTAAATTATTTATTTTAATATTGCTAAGGTTTAAAAATACATCCTGGGCTAATTAGACAAAAAAATTTAGGGATGTAAGTTTATCTTCTGGTATTTTTAAAATGTTCTGGGTTTGGGAGACAATAATTATGAATGGGACACTTACCAAACTATTTGTGGCTTCATTAAAATAACTTTCATCATCTGTTTCTCCTGTTTGTTCTAATAATTGCTGAAAGGTTAATAAGTATTAATGAAACATCACTTCTTGGTTTATTTCTTTATGATTCTTATACTCTTTGTGACAGAGTAAGTAACAACTTAGTATTATCAAGGACCTTTGGTGAACATATTTATCATCATTGCATTTAAATGTATTGTGCCTATTTCCTATCAATACAAAATCAGGCACATTGATTCATTTACTGCAATTACCTAATTACTTAATTAATGACAACTTTCCTGTAGATAAAGACTTGTTTAACAAACCTTTCATATTGATTTTATCTATTTGTTGTCATTCATTTTACTTTGATGATTATATTATTTTACTACACTAATGACTAATTGTACCTACTTATAATTGGTATGTTTGTATATTTATAGTGTACAAATACTCAAATGCTATTTCTGCATCATTAAAGACAAAATATAATTCTGTCACTTACAATTACTTAGAAAATGAGAGAGATGTTGCCTTACTTAACTGTGTATAATTTAAAATTGAGCAGCATTTCAGCTTTTGGATGTAAAATGCTTAAATATAAAGATGAAAACCAAAGAACTATTTATTTAATACTAGTTTTTGCCAGCGGCTTCATCCACATTACCAAAGGTTAAAAAGAACCATATTTGTTACGTCCGAGCATAATCCACACCTATTCCTTATATCATCCCGGTGACTGCAGCAGTTTTGACATGAGTGAGTAACAAGAATAGACACAAACTCGTAAACTTTCGCATTTATAATATTCGCTGCTCAATCCCCAAGTGGTCACCGGTGACTACTCTACATCTAACTACATTATAGACCTTATTTCCGATGTTTAGAGACTACTTTTGTATGAACTAATTTAGGGTAGGATATTTCAACAGGTTAGTAAGATAAAATTTACAAGTAAGTAGTGTTTTGGTGTGTTTACTTAGCCAAAATAGACATAGTTGTGATGTTTCATACATGTATGAAGATCGCTAGATACCAATTTATGATAATGTTACAGTTTACAGGGTGATAACAAAGAAATCTGTTGCCCCCATTCTGTCATAGCATTGAAATCAATGTTAGGAAGTAATTCAACATTGTTATGTTACTTCCTATCGCTTCTAAGTCTATGATTGTTTGGTTAAATTGGACTAATAAGTAAGAATAATTTGGATAAGAAAATAGATAACAATAATGATAAACTATTGTAGGTATTGTAGTGTAACTACATTCTAAAAACGAGTCTTAAGTTTTATAGCTGTTTAGACACAAGTGTTTCAATAAATTCCTATTAGACAATGTTAGGTAATTTCCATCATACTTACTGTATAGTCAGCAGGTTGACAAGGATCTCTTGTAGGAGGTGTAAAACATAATACTAACAAATAAATAAACAGCAGTGAACTTCTCACATAGGTCACAAGAAATGGTCTCTCTATATGCTTCTCTATGTACAAATACTGTAAACAAAAACATTCAATGTCATATCAAGTATATACGAAGATATTTAAACACATTTTAATAGTCTGAAATACTTACTTTTGTCATCTCAGAGGATACCACCCACAGAATAACGACCAACAACAGAATGAAAACGCCGAACGCAAACTTCCTTTTGTTAAAGCGTTGGGGCACATCTTTGCCATTCTTATTGTTGTTAGTAACTCGAAAATAATTGTGGCACAAAGTCAACATGAAGACGACTGTACAAATTCGGTAACTACGTAAATTATTTGAATTACACTGAATTGGTCAAGATCATATTTTTACATTGATGTTTACGGTAACATATTCACGCTTACTGGTCATAGAAGTAATTCTCAGTAAACCTTGATTGTTTTATTATTCAATAAAACTTTAGTGTCTTGACTTTAACAATAAAATTCCAATACGATGTACGAAGATCGAACAATCAAATTCAGTATCAACAACTTTTTCAATGGCTGATTACAGATTATTTATGTGTTACCAGCTTTTAAAAATAGTGTTCTGCATAAGTCTTGACATTTTAGTTAACCATTCACCCACACAAGCTTATGCAATCTACAAAATGGTAAACCAAGTAAACGATGTTTTTATTAATAAAATATTTTATAAAGTTCATTAGAAATATTAAAAATAAGGAATGAAATAAAAATGAAAAAAATTGGAAGTTTAATTTTGGGCTTGGACCTAAAATGAACATTCTCAATTTTGTAGATTATTTATAGTTAATCAGAAACAATAGAGTTTAGTTTACATGTCAATAAACTGTCAAGGTAATTGTAACCTCCAATCCGTGCCTGTAATTTCAAATTGGTATCTTTACAAAACAATAATTTCCTGAAACGTGCTCATAATCGAGTCACGAACTATTTTAAAGTAATTTAACAACATGAGCGCCTGTAACGTGGAAGTAATAAAACAAGTGGGGAGATACTACAATGTATCTGTGGGGACCGTATGTTTTAATACAGATAAGGTAATATTTATTCTAAATATTATTGTATGAGAGAGGAGAATATTTTTAATCATACAGCTTATTCTGAAATATATATAATATTCTGTTTCAGGTACTTACTACTGTAATAAATAAGCAAAGCATAGAAGGTTTTGCAACAATTGTTTTGAAGTTAGCATCTCTTAGTGGGATTCAGCTGAGCCAGGAGGAGAGGCTGCTTAGTTATCAGTGGCTGGAACACATTGCTATGTATGCCAATCAGGCTGCAGCTAACCCTGTGTTTGCACTGGGATTTTTAAAGGTAAAACTATCATCAGTAAAGATTGCATCATACAAACATTTAGACATAACCTGATTAATGTGGACTATGAATTTTGAATATCTACTTTCACCTTCTAAGTATCTTTGATTTCCCCTTCACTATGGTCATTAAATAATATAAACTTTATGTCACAACAAAAGAGTATTTGATACTATACAGATAGCTAATTTTAATGATTAACACTTGTTTTCCAGGACATAAATAAGGCTTTAGAGAAGACTACTTACCTAACTGGACAGAAATTGAATGTTACTGATGTAGCAGCATATTATGTCTTATGCCCATTGATAGTAAGTATATTATTGCTTATCAGTAAATATATGTAAATAGCCTTTTCTATACGGCATATGTTTGAGAGACAATTTATGGAACAAAAACATTTATTCAGATACTTTTAATAAGAGACATCGAGACATACTTTTACAATATTTCTGTTTAAATTTTGCTAACCACTAGGTAACTGAAGGCCAATGAAATAGCTAGAATACTAGACTGCAACCTACTTCATAATTACCCCTAGTACTCCCCTATAAAGCATAAATACAAATGTCAAGAATTACTTAAAAGCCGGTGTTGACATTGCATTAAAATGTAGTAAAAACATGCATGTTTGCTGCAAGCTTATGGGGTAGAGCTATGAAGGGTAACATTTATTACCAAAAAAGAGACTATAACATGTTTATATTTATTTATTTCAGGAGCGGCTGTCAGTGCCAGAACGTGAATCATTCATGCACATATGCAGGTGGATAAAGCACATGCAAGCGCAACCAAGAATTTGTACCCGTCAGCCACTACCACTAAACACTCTGAATCTCACAATATTAGCTCCAGCTGTACATTAATTACCAATAATTTAAGCTTTAATGAGCATTTCAATACCAAAACAATTAACTTTTTAATTATTGAACAGTTATTGCCAACATAAAAAATTAAGACTGTAAAAGTATTAATAGTTTCGAGACCTTTCATAATGATTGTGTTCAATAAGTTGGAAATATTAATTATTTATATTGCTAGTTACTGTGTCTTGGATAGTGTAAGTACATGGATTGTGTTTTACTTATCAATGATAATATAATTTTTTTTATTATATCACATTTTAAAGTTTTCTTTACAACCTGTCAAAATAGACTGTGTATTATAAAGTTCGTGACACATACTAAATTAATTATTATGTGTTTCGGGTTACTCACGTTATTGTTTGACGAGGAACTCGACTAGTTTCAAGCCAAGCTAAAGCAGCATTCCGCGACTGTCGCTGCGTCGTGTATCGTCGTGCGACCTGAAACTAGTCTACTTCTTTGTCAAAGTGTTACGTGATAACGTGAGTAAGCCGAAAAAGAATAATTATTTTAGATACTTCATTCTTCGTAGTTGGTTGAGTGGTAGCAAGTATGAGTAAATGCGTATTTTATTGGGATGACCATCAATCATATCAATTAATTAAATACTAAACTCTTGGGAAATGTGAGTGTAACATTAACACTTTAGCCGCAAGCAAGGGTATAAAAACAATGATATTACAATGATAAATCCAAGTATCAAGGATTTGTACAGTTCGCTCGGTTAGACTTCGTCGGATCAAGATATCAATAACTTAACCCTCAATAATTCAAAGCTTATAAGACAGATGGCAGTACTGGTCACATTTAATTTACTTTTTGACCAACTTAAACTTACAAAAATGTATCTTTTCCCTCCGGTTTACCAGATACGGGTATACGATTTTTAGTCTCCAGTGTCTGTGGTACCTAATTCCCTATTGTATTTTTTCTTTCAGAATTCAGCACCAATAACTTTGTTGCCTCCATTACCCGAACAAATATTGCCACATCAGTTGAAAAACATAAAATTGGATAAGGCTTTTTTATACCATCCCCAGCCGTTCTCGTTTCCTGGCTATCCAGTAGTGGTCTATTTATGAATGGCGATATACCTATGCATTTACCTTCTTAAATAAACATTATTATTATTAATATATTCGCATGTGTACCTACCGTCCGACTTCTAAATGGTATAAGTACTATCTTACTAATATTACAAATGCGAAAGTTTGTCAGCTTGTTCATTTGTGTGTATGTTTGTTACTCAATAACGTCAAAATGACTGAAGGGATCAGGTTGAATATGGAACAGAAAAAAAAATAAAAATAAAATATATTTTTATTGACAAAAAGCTTCACATTACATATTATATTGCTCTGGATCTGGACCCCACACTAGGATTCCCTGTGTCGTGAGGCCCAGTCTCTTTCAGTCAGCAAAACATTATAATACAAGTGAGAAACAAAATGAAAAGAAAATTAAAAAAAAAGAAGTTAAATGAAAACGATAAATTTACAGTATTCTTTATATAATACTAATTATGGAAGTGTATGAATGTATGTGTGATTTTTAGGTTTGTGTATGTATGTATATGTATGTGTGTGTGTGGTGTGTATGTGTTTGTGTGGTGTGTATGTGTGTGGTGTGTGTGTGTGTATGTGTGTGTGTGTGTGTGGAGAAGTAGATTATAGTCTGGAATAACACATAGACTAGCTACGTTTTATTTCACGGCAGCGTGGGCGACGTCGCTAGCAGAAGATAGCATAATATAACATACATTTTGCGTAAGTCGCGCTAGTAGTGACTGCAAAAGAAGGTCTGTTGTCCAGATGCGAATTTAGTTGGTTTCGAACCGAACCGAATCGAACAGTATCAATTTACTGGCAAGATATCATGCTACGCACGTCAGTGCCATCTATCTAACACAAAAACAATAATTAGTCCTAACTCTAAAATATCTCCTTAGATCCAAAATATCTCAGAATGCAGGTATTGTATTGAGCAATATCATTGTGTGTTATCCTGGCCGCGGAGGACTTAACAGGTTGCCGGGGCTCCGGTTCGAAGGGCAGGAGTAGGAACGGTGTGTTTTTGTCAGTAAGAATCTGACACCCCCTTCAAGATGATATGATGTCATTCGATGATTTTCCCCCCTTATAAAAAAAGACTAGACTGGTGACCTATCTTAGAAGTTTAAGGTAGATTAAAATAAAATAAAATCACCAATATTGTCGTCAGATTTTATTCTGAACTGCTTTTTTCTAGGCTATACACATTTTACATTTAGGTAGATATCTATGTAAAACTAGTTGTCATTGTCATTCGTACTTATATCCTTTGGGTTATGCAGTTGGTCGTTGTTTGTTCTCTGAAACAGGTAATGACATATTTGTTTTTATTATATCCATAAGATAAATTGAGTTGTAGGCGATTAGGTAATGCTAAATATAAAAACTAGAGTAGGCAACAATCCTTAAATTTCTAATCCCCAAAAGGCCGGTAATGCAATTGTAACGCCTCTGGTGTTCCGGGTGTCCGTGGACGACGCCGATTGCTTACCATCTGGTGATCCATCTGCTTGTTTACCGGCTTATCCTATAAAAAGGACAGTAGGGGGAATTAGTTGACTAGTAGTCGACTGCACGGTTGGTGCGGTGGCTGGGCAACCGGCTGCCGTGCAACGTGTCGCGGGTTCGATTCCCGCACGAAACAACACTTTGTGTGATCCACAAATTGTTGTTTCGGGTCTGGGTGTGTTGTGTATGTGTATTTGTATGTTTGTAAACGCACCCACGACACAGGAGATAACGCAAGTGTGGGGTAACGTTTAAAAAAAAAAGATAAAGCGAGTTGAGAAGAAGTAGTATAAGAAGATGTGACGTTTGGCTGTCCCATTAGGAAAGGTGGAGTACATGAGCTGGTAATAAGTTAAACAGTTGATAAGACTGAAAAAAAATAAACATATTTTTCCCGAACTCCCGGTAGAAGTAGTGAAGTACCTACATACCATCAGGCTATCCTGTCTGTTCCGTAGAAGATTTCTTGGCATTTCCTTTACCGTCAACCTTACGGTCGGAGAAACGCAGCATCAAACATCGTTCCAACTTATTAGAGTAGGAGCAACCGTTGTCTTCAGCCTCTGTGAAAATAATGGCGTTATTTATCTGTAAGTAACTGGGCAACTGTGACTGTGGTAGGACTTTTAAATCAACTCCAATCATCATCATCATCATCATCAGCCCGTGTTCGTCCACTTCTGGACAAAGGCCTCTCCTATGGCACGCCACTGAGCTCGGTCTTCAGCACCTCTCATCCAACCACTGCCAGCCACCCTGCGGATGTCGTCACTCCACCTAGCTGGAGGGCGCCCTACACTACGTTTGCCTAGACGCGGTCTCTACTTAAGAACAAGTTTATCCCAACGGTTACAGGTGTTTTGCAAATGTGAATGTGACAGGCCCACTAACACCAAAGAGTATAATAAGTATAGGGGATATTATATTAACACTAACACTTCAGCTTACTAATCAGACTTCAATAATGAAATTTAAAGAGGTATACCATTGTTTGTTACCCTATGTTATTAGTCGAGTAATAGGGAGCGAATTCTATATCAACCCCACCATGCATAACTTCGTGTAAACTGACATTTTTGAATATACCTAGAAAGTCTCAATCATCTTGGTGTACCATTTTCCAGACAGATACCATTTAAACGTTAGTCATTAAGGTGAATTTTTAATTCCAAGGTCGGTAGTCGCACCGTCCATACTACTCTATGAAACAGTAGGTACCAAATAATACCTGATTGTAACTCCTGGAAGCAAGCTTGTATCTGATCGTGCAGCGCAGACCGAGATTGTTGTGACGTCACAGATGATTGCACTTTGTTCCATAATTCTGCTTCTCGAGGTATACCTTTGCTGTCCACCTAGCAAACAGTTTAGGTATACAGTAAGTTAGTTCTCCGATCATCAGGTGACCAGTCTGCTTGGTTGCCGCTGATTCCATAAACAAAAACTCGACTAAAATCTGTCGAATTCTATTCTCGCTTACGTTTGTCTAGATTCTAGACTAATTTAAGCTCTCTCTAGACTCTAGAACGATCACATTTGCTTTTTCTTTATTTATATTTTCCTCTTTCAAAACGTATTCAGGCAGGCACTTACCACTTGTAAATTGGCGAACACACATTGACTGAGACACTGCAAATAATTCGAGTAAATTAGATTAGAAGGCATTCGTTGCGGGATGTTATGTTATAGAAGGGAGGGAAACAAATTAGAAGAGGAATTGATAAAGTTTTTTTACTTTAGAGTTGTTTTTTTCAGCTTATATAAAATGTCATCTTTAAATTATGTAAATGCTCATTGAATGAGATAATATGCCATACCTAAGATCAAATGTTACTTACGCCTCGATGCCGAGACGGGGATTTACACGATAAATGATACTTGACGTATCCACTTATCAAGATTATACTTAAATTTAATAAAAGATGATTTAATAATCCAGCTCTACAGGTTTTTTAGATTGGTCTATTTAATATTCAATGACATAATTTTATTGTACCTGATCCGAATCGGGACGGTTTAGAAGCGGTTCGTTTCTTTTGGTCCTGTTGATATTATTCTTGTTTATATTGTTACTCGGAGTCGCCGGGCGTGGTACTGATGTAAGCAGTTTTTCTCCCATGTTCCCAGATCCATAGCCACTATAGTCGTCATCAGTTGCATTAATGACCATTAGTTGGTCACCACTGTCGTTGGTAATCCGTCGCTCGTGGCTGTATCGGTTCCCTTCTTTCATATTATCGTCTATTCTGGGAGAAGCATCGTAAGAGTCCTCAGATCGACGTTGACGTTCCTTACTTGCAGGTTCTTTTGAGTTGGTGACGTCGTCAGGATATGTGCATGATTTCAAAGCTACTGCTACTTCATCTTCTAATAATTTGATGTTACCTTCCCCAGCACCCGTGACTAATGCCGGTAGGAGCGCGAGGAGCACCACGGCACCTACCATCGTACGGAAGTAAAATGTTGCACTGCTTACTGCCCTGCATTTAAATGGATCTGTACAGGAAACTCGACCATTGTAGCTGACAAGTGCCTGTCAAAATCAGTGATATTCCTGTGAACTCTTTTCATTGCAATGATTCGGACATTGGTTACAATTACAATGCGGACATCTGCAATTATGGATAGCTGTTCTTTATAGTCGGATGTATAGGTTCAGACGTATTTGTGCATATTGTTATGCCTATCCAAAATGGGACCTGCTTATTGAGTTGTGTTGCATAATAATTTATTAAAATGTCTGTAACTTAACGTGTTGGGTAGGTAGGTATAGGTAGGTGGATTGATATTAAAAAGATAATGACAAGTGGTGTTAGATAATTAAATGGACGGGTTATCCTCAAGACGAGTGACTCCAAATGATACTTGTCTGAGATGTTGTTTGTCTGACCTCAGTTTATTATCTAATATCTTATTTGCTGATAAAATATTTAAGTATTTTTCCTCGAGTAGGTATGTTTTTGTATCGATAAAATGAAACACACTTGTGATGAATTTTTATATTTGCGTATTCAATATTATTTTATCCTTTCCCGTAGTGTCCCCATTTGCCATTGCCCCAGCCGCTCCACGCAGGTCCATTTTCTCCTCCATAGATTCTTAATCCTGAATAGGTTCTGTATTTTCCATAACTAGTACCAGCTAGGCCCGATGAAATGGGTGCACCAATATCCGTTATCGTTCCATAGGAGCTGCCAATGACTCCTGATGACCCAACATTTCCTGGAGAATATCTTCCATAAAGACCAGACACGCTGAAAGTTAGTGGAACTTGTACGTTACCAGTGCCCACGCTGTAGTGCGCTGAACGAAGTGATGGCCAGAAAAACTTCGCTTTTTCCATAGGTTGTGGTTTTCGTTTTGACACTGGCTCTGAAATGGAAGTTTGGTTTATGTGATGACTTGAACTTCTCTATCTAAATTATTCATCTATTCATATCTTATAAGGAAATGTTAAAAGATTTTATTGTATTAGTTTTATCGTAAATGCGACTAGGTATTAAGTGTGATATCCTGGACTCGGTAATGTTAATTGATTCGTTCGATCTTTAAAGTCGTCAGTGTCGCTTAGTCTAAATTATCCTTGGAATATGGAAGGCCATAATCGTAAGTCTAAGCCATAGCCTAGCTTACAGGTACAGTTTAGTGAGCTAATCAAGTCCAGACTTTAAATAGGTTAGGAATTATTTTGAGATCGTTATGACATACATAATAGATGTTGTGTCGCAGACGCCATTATTATGTATTAAAGCTGTTCTTAACTTTTTGAAGGAAACGAGCGTGGAAATATAATATTTTGCACTATCAAATGGTATTTTTGTAAATGCCTAAATTCTTGCTAAATCAAAAATCTTAAATCTCACGACATTATGGTGTGTCGTGATGAGGATAATAATAATTAAAAAAAAAACTAAACAGGAAAGTATAATAAGGTTAAGTCGACGATATATTATTTTTTAGACGTTGTTAAACACGTTTTTATTCGTAAATCAATGTAGGTATATTTTGGCGTAAACGAGCTTGTTGTAAAAAGGATCCACACACAGGGGCTGTGGTTTTTCCTTATTATTTATTAAAAGTGGGTAAAAAATGGTGATGCTTTAATAATACCTGTTTGGTGTTATTTTTTATCGAAACCACTTCTTTTCTTAAGAATTGAAATTAAAATAACTGATTGCGTGTTTTGTGGCCCGATTATGGTTATTATAACAATGCCTTTTAATGAATACCATACAAATTATGAATCAGGTGATGTTTTGTCAAATTATTGGCAGGTTGGTAGACAAGATCTATACGGCCTTTAGCCAAACGCCACTTTAGCGCTTGTCTACGGAGAGAGTAGAAATCTAAATGGATGACACTGACAAGTGTCAAAATTCACGTCAATCCTTACTTAATATTATAAATCGGAAAGTGAGTTTGTTTGGTTGTACCGACTTCACACCGTAACTACTAAACCGATTGATTGCATTGAATTTTTGCGGACGTAAAGTTAGTAGTCTGGATTAAATAATAGGGTAGGTACTTTTTATCCCGAAAAAATTTTATATTCCCGAGGGAAAACTAAAGTATTGGTATAGATGGCGCTGTATGTATTGGTATATGTCACATAGGCTACTTTTTATCCTTTCGTGACGCGAGCGACGCCACGGGTAAAAGCTAGTTTCATATAATTTGTTTTTCTATTCTACATGTAGTCAAGCGCTAAATGGCATTTGGCTACAGCTGCTGGTAAGATCGTACGTTAACTGTATGTTACACTACGTATTTATGAAAAGCTCCTTATTACTTTTATTTCGTATTACTTTACTTACTTATATTAATTGTGTCAAGTTGTAGAGTTTGTTTGCTTAAGCGCGCTAATCTCAGAAACTACAGGACCGATTTAAAAAATGTTTTGGTGTTGGATAGCCCATTTATCGAGGAAGGCACTAAATCAATAGGAGCTGAGCAGAGAGGTTGAAATTGCGCGGTAGTAGCTAGTAAATAAGTAAATAAGACAAAGATAGCACAATCATTGACTTACTTTCTTCAGTTACACCAGGTAAGGTATCTCCAGTGTTCCGTGCCATTCTTTCTACGGGCCTGGTCCACAACTCTCCAGGAGTCAGACTTCCACTCACGTCAGTTAGCGGTGGACTCGGAGACAAGTAGAGTGACGGGTCCAGTACTGCACTCTCCACTGACCAAATGTAAACACAGCATAGTGCTGCGATCTGAAACTGAAATTGGTGCAAATTAGTATATAGCATGGTCTATATGAGTCACTTGACTTATTGGTGATTGCAGACTCTCAATTAAGGGGTCGATTTTGATATAGCGGTGGGATAAAACATTAGCTACTGTATTTTTAGACTTTTAAAATGTTCACACGGAGTACAGATGATGAGTATCGATTTCTATTGCATGAGATTTATAACATAATCAAGAAGTAGGTGATAGGTAAGCGCTCCTACGTCTAAGGGTAACTAGCCACGTTTCGTCATTTGACAAATGCATGTATTCTTCATTAAAAAAAATTCTCAGTAGTAGCACGGAGTCCGGAATTTTGCCCGGTATATGGCAATAGGCTCACCCCCTATTACATGGGACTCGTAACATAAATAGTGAAAAGTGGGTGTTACATTGTACAGTGGTACCTATAATGTGCACCTCTGCCTACCCCTTCGGGGATAAAAGGCGTGATGCTATGTTATGTTATGCATTCTTCACATACATCAGGCATTTGTAGGGTACAAATGACAAATGCTTGCATCTTACTAAGAATCAATGAAAACTGGCCACGAAGCGGCAATGTTAAATCCGCCTGCATTCGTCAAATGTCGTAACGTGCATAGTAAGCCTAATTCTTCGAGGAATACAATTTAAGGTTTCACATTGCTATTACTTATGCAATTTATTAAATAATAATACAATGTGACTCATCATTCTACACAATTCCAGAAATTCGAGAAACCTGTCCTTGTTGTTTATTTAAAAAGTCTAATATTGTTTTTATGGTTTCGCGACTATTAATTTGAATTTCGAATTGACCACAAACTAGTACCTATAAAGCTACTGAAAATAAACAAAAGCGATCGCTGTTTACGTCTAAAAGTAGGTACATATATCCAGTTTTTGTGTCAAATTGTTTGATTAATCTAATAAATAGATTATGCAACTACAATTAACTATGAGTAATGTAGAGGTACATAGATAAATAATTACTACCACCTAAAGAAGTGATTGATTACATCGTAACGAATGGGTGACTATCTAGGTATACATCGTTCTTAAGTGGATACTGCAGATGTAATTATTTAATTGAGGTCTTGTAAACATGTTGATATTTATTTATTTTTTAATTTATTATCTATCACAGCTAATGAAACTCTTTAAAGTTTTTTATTTATACTTAATAGGCACTGAATGTGGCCACACAAAACATTTTTTTTTGTGTGGGGGAACTATAAACTACCCTTTCCAACTTCTGCTCCTGCTGCTGCTGAAATTATTTAAGGTACGTACTCAAGTAGGTATACAATAATATAACATCACCCCCGAAAGGGTAGGCAGAGGTGCACATTACGGCACTTAATGCCACCGTATAATGTAACACCCACTTTTTTCACTATTTATGTTACGAGTCCCATATAATAGGGGGTGCCTATTGCCATATACCGGGCACGTTTCCAGACTCCGTGGTACTACTGAGATACTGAAATGTTTAATACTAAAACCCAGTAATACTTTTGCCTGAGCCGGGAATCCCGGCAGTCGCAGTTGCGACCACTAAGCCAATGCGACCACTGAACCAAGTATAGAACTCAATCCCATATCAAAGAAAAAATTAAGGTTAAAAAGTGAAAACCTTTTCCCCGATCCGGGCTCGAATCGTTATTTCTTTTTGGTCACTATAATATTAATGCAAACATTGATAACGTATTTAATTCACATTTTTTTTAAGTATAGTTTAAGTGCAAACTGGCATTTTAATTAAATACCAATTCGCATACTGGTATTTTATGTAGTTTAGTAGTCCGGAGATGGAACTAGTATTGTTATGGTCACGAGATTAGTATACGAGTCCTTGTCTAGTCAATTACAGGCGAATTAACATTCGCGCACGTGTCTCACGTGTTTCAATACACGAATAGTGGGCCAATAGACGTTTTTTTGATAATAAAATTATTCAAAATTACTCACTATCATCTCGATGTCTTCCGGGATTCAGAAAATGATGTAACTACACTGCTTAAATGCACCAAACTAACATTTTTCGAGGTATTCACCGGTTATGTAACTGGAAAGGCTTTCTCCCACTCTCCGTGCATCGTAAATATATTACCTTTGTCCAGGTCCAAGGACGCCGGCTTAGGAAAGTGATAGCGGTGTCAATGACCGATCCTAACATATCGATATGAATATGAAAGTTTAAAATACGAGTCTCTATACACGTTGGAATAT